CAGAAGCACGCCTCACACAGTTGAGAGAGCCGTCGCGCAGGCGCAGGCGTAGCTCGTCATCAAGCCGCGACAGACATAGGTCGCGAGACCGTAGGGATAGGTCCTGCACAGTAGAGCGCAGGGGCTCAGTTCGCGATCGCACACGAGATCGCCGGGTTCTTAGCAACCCGAGAGACCGGAGCGAGCCAGCACAAGCTGCGCGAACATCGAGATGGGGACGCACACGTGCCAGCACGGGCTGACCGACCGTTAGATCCTAACCGACTGCTCCGTGCTAACCGGTCGTTAGATTTTGCTAACCGGCTGTTAGATTTTTATGCATGCTGCAAATGCAAAGCATGCCCTTCGATTCGATGGGTTTGGGCTCAAAAAATATAGTGTGGAGTTAGTGTCTTGTGGTGACTGCTGGGTGTTGCGGCTGGGGGGGGTGTCGTTGGGAGTTATTGGGTCGTTTTTGTACAGATTTGTACAGTTGCACGCGACTTGGGCACCGAATTCGATCAGCCGTTGCGCACCAAAAGAAAAACCCTAATTCGATTCGATTTATATATTTACTATATTACATTAGATTGTAATAATAAAATAACGCAAATATATAGAATATATATATATATATATATACAGTACAACAACGACGCGGGGACAAGACAAACCACACGAGAGAGATCGAAGAGAAATTCAGAGTTGGCTGCCTCATGTGTTGCATGCTGCATATGGCTGTGATTGCTTTTAGCTGTGGCCATGGCTGATCCACTGCAGGTTTGGTTCGAAATTCGTGATTTCGCAGCCCATGCAATAGGTTTTGCTGGATCATGCATGCAGCAAACACGTGCAGGCGGAGGGTACCGATATATTTGTCGAAGCATATATATATATATATATGTATGTATTGTATGTGTATATACACTTCGAGCTATGTTTGTATGATAGACTGTACGTAGATCCTCGGGGCCATGGAAGTCACTCGAGATGAGAAAGTTCGAAGGTTGACAACGCTTCTTTACTCTAACGTTTGTCTTCCAGATTATGGTCTGGAACGCATCAGGACCACCGGTGCGCTTACCCCGACAAACAGTCTCCGCCACCGGGCTACTCGAAAGTGTCTGGAATTCTCACGTGATCTTGATGGGAGGTGGTTCACGTATCAAATGGTGACTGATGCTGTGAACAATCTTCTATCCGATTACCAGTTGGAGATACCAACCAATACACCGGGTTTCTCACGAGAGAACTGGGTTTCGCAAACGAGTACTACGTTGTTGCATCTTTTGCAAAGATCACGCAGAACTGTGGCGGGGTCTGCATCGAACGACGCCATGGACACTGCCGAAACGCAGGTTCTCGATGAAATGGAGGAAAGGGCTGCAGGGTCTGATCGAAGAGTTAAGAATTGTTGAGTTCATGATGTGCTATAGGATATGTTGCATATTTACAGCTACATATACCGTACCGTGCAGGACTCCCAGGTGTATGTGGACCCGTGGTCGAGCTCGACGCCGCTGGATGTGTCTTGCACCAATTTAAACTTAACCACATGCAGTTGTATGCTGAACATTCGCATGCATGCTTCCCGGAACTCGAAGTTTAAAATCACCTCAGGCTTCGGAGGCGACAGTGCGGAAACGAAGTTCTGGTGATCTCAGTGATCCTTATCAGCAGCCCCAGGATATACACCCAATAAGCCTAATTCTGTATATAACCCTTTAAACCCTTATATCTCCTTTGTTGCTTGGTCGTTGCCGATAGGGGTATGTTTGTAGCGCTGCATTCTTATGATCGAGGTCGACGTGGGAGAGATCCAGCCCGCAAAACGTCTGCGTTTGAGGACAAAGACGCCGCTTGAATGATATATATATATATATATATAGTAACCTGCGGGCAATATCGTAATTAAAATATTAAGTTTTCGTTTCTGCATGATCGAGGCCAAGCTATACATGTATTCCAGATGTCCCGGACAATGCCGCTTGTCTCAAAGTCTTGAAGTGTTTATGAGTGCGAAGCATTTTTTTAAGCTCGTCGCAAAGTATCGTGAGTGCAAAGTAATATGAGGTGGATGAGTCTGCTGAAGATTATGAATATGGCGATGGCGACAAAAATGAGGCGGATCTTCCAAAAGATTGGCCAGATCTGCATGCGTCAGCAGCTCCTAATACTGCATGAGATTTCATACGGCGGCTTCGCAGTGCAAAGTTAATCAGTTTCGTGTGCATGTGAGCCCTATTGCATATCTGGGTGCACGGCCGATTTAAGGATCCTGTGCCACGAGTGTCGGGGCATGCAAGAGGGTGTGTGTGCGCAGTAGGTTTCCGTGGTGCATATAGTATATATATATATATATATATATTATATCAGTTCGATTGCATGCACGTGCCGAGGATTCTGATTGGATGGATGCCAAAAAGTGCGAGCAGTACTTTGCCGAGGACATATAATACAACAATCTAATCCTATCTCAATACCCCGAGCCGAAAGTCTCAGATTAATTTTGGCAGGATGGATCCGATTTCAATTGGGAAGAGGCCCATCAGGACTGAAATCATCTATTGTAGTTAATTTAATTCAGGTCAAATAGGTAGTTACAATCATGATCTTGAACTGAAGTCTGACATATATGCACATGGTTATACACTTGACTTGGATTGATCAAATATAAAGTCAGTTGGTTCTATAGTCTGCATAGTAAAAATTCAGGACAGAATATTACCTAATAGGTGCTTAATTATAGAAGTTATGGCCATAGTCCCTAATAGTGTATCAGGAGTTCTGCGCGAAACACGGTGATCCGGATGAGGAGCCGGATGAGGAGCCGGATGCGGAGCCGGGCGAGGCAGGCATTTGCCGCCGGGAGAGCAAATGTGGGCCTTGCCAATGGTTTGATGGAGAATGCTGGCACGATTCGTCCCGCAGCCCGTGTCCGCAGGATGATGAAGCATGGGACGAGGATATGGATGGCGAGCCGGCCGATGGAAAAGATGAGTGGGTCGAGGCGACCGAGCCGGAGTGGAATGAGACTGGCGATGCCCAAGATGAGTGGGCCGAGCCGGCCTGGAATGAGGCTGGCGATGCCGAAGATGAGTGGGCCGAGCCGGCCTGGAATGAGGCTGGCGATGCCCAAGATGAGTGGGCTGAGCCGGTCGAGACCGGTAATGCAAAAGATGACTGGGCCGAGCCGGCCTGGGAAGAGACTGGTGATGATGAGTGGGCCGAGCCAGGCTGTGCCGATGATGCAAAAGATGAGTGGGCCGACCCGGCCTGCGAAGAGACGGGTGATGCAAAAGATGAGTGGGCCGAAGATCCCGATGAAGAGCTCGGCGAAGCAGCTGATTGGACCGACCCGGCCTGGGAAGAGACCGGTGATGCAACAGATGAGTGGGCCGAGCCGTTGACTCGTGATATCGAGCAAGAGGAATGGCTCGAGCCGGTCGAGGAGATTGGCGATGCCGATGACGAGGACGCCGAGCCGGCTAATGAAGAGGTCGCCACGAGTGGTGCAAAGACCCAGGCCGACTCAGAGTGGATAACGTGGCCGAAAAAGGCCCAAATGGTGCCCAAAGACTATCCTGATGAAGGTGAGAAGGAGCGGCTGGGTCAGTTTTGGAAGAAGTACGTGGTTCGACAGGAGCCCAATTAAATTGGGATTTCGGTAAGATTGAAATATATAGATTGCGACTCATAGATTTAAAACAGAAACTATAGATATATAAACTATCCCCAGCCGCAGGAGACCGTCGACAAAGAGACGCCGCACGCCGTCCACGAGCCCCGAATAAAGACCGAAGAGCTGCCGACAAGCATGGAGGAACATCGTAAAGAAACAATAAGACCTTGTTGCTCGAAGCTTGTGCAGTTTCCGGCGATCTGTAGTTTAATCAAATAAGTTAATAAGGTAGCTCTCTCGGCTCTCTCTGTGCATATATGCTAGCCCTCTGTGTATATATGCTAGCCCCCAACTAATTAATCTCTAATAATCATAGAGTGATAAGCAAAACTCGGATCTCTGGTTCAGGACCTGATCGCCCTACTTCGAACCGTCACCGACAAGCAGCTTATGCTCGCCATTTGCGACAAGCTCAAAGACTCTTGGCTTAAGTTTTGTTGTTCCAGCGCGGAGTCCTCTACGCATACAATGTATTCTGATTTCGACACTTATAAGGACTGCAAGCGATCCGATGGTTCCTCGACAGATCCGCCCTTTGCCTAAAATTGAACTGCCCCGTGCACTCAGCGAAGCAAAATCATAAGACCAAATCCAAAACTCCACATTCAGGCAGCCGGGAGAGAGCATCGATGATCAGGCTGGTCGAGCGGCAAGATATGTGCACTCTGGAGATTGTATGTCTGTGTGTGTGCGCAGCTAACTTGAAGCCTCGATGCATCGAGATCTTGTCATTCTAATTGAGATTCCTGAATCCCTCATATGCGGACCAGCGGCCAGTGATTAGAAGTCCTCCAAGCCAAGCATCGATATTAATACCACGCATAGGCCAGCCTCCGACCTCGCGATCGAGATCTGACCCGCTCGGACAAGGGACCGACGGTGCCTTAACTTTAAAACAAGTGGTCTGAATCGATCCAATTTCCGAGATTGTGGAGATCTGGCTTACGTATGTACTTTCTAATCCAGCTATAGCTAAGGAGTTCGTGATCCCGAACGTTACGGAAATGAAGGGCCTTGGTTGTCTACCAGGCAGCGTCGTCCAAGCTGCACTAGGAGGTGTACACAAGCCAGTGAACCCTCACAGACAGCGCCTCCTTGTGGCTGCTAACAAAGCAACAGAATGCGAGAAGGTCCCAGCAGCAGTATCCTCCAAAGCCAAAGCAAAGTCGAAGCCAGCAGCCAAGAAAGCGGCAGAAGCCAAAAAGGAGGAAGAAGCCGAAAAGGAGGAAGAAGCCGAGAAGGAGAAACCAGCAGCCACAGCAGAGCAGCCAGAGAGCCCCAAGCCAACAACCTCGACTGGCGAGCCCAAGAAAAAAAGAGCAGCGTATACCGACACTGCTTACAACGTTGCAAGAAAGAAGTTCCTGCAGACGTCCCTCGACTCAAATTTTACACAATTGGATCAGTGTCTATAGTTAAGACTGAGCCCAGCTAACACGTGCATCCGGCCCAAGGCTGCCCCAGAATCTACGCCAGTCTGACAAGCAAGCCGAGCCGCTTCGGAGCAATTTCATCCATAGAGGATCGGCGCATCCACTCGTTCTTTCTCTCTAGATCTCTCTCTCTCTCTCTCTCTACCTCTCTCCTCACTCGCTGTCCCTCTATATCTCTCTCCCACCTTCTCTCTCTCTCTCTATCTATCTCTCTCTCTCTCTCTCTCTCGCTCTCTCTCTCTCTCTACCTCTCTCGCTCGCTGTCCCTCTATCTCTCTCCCACGTTCTCTCACACTCTCTCTCTCTCTCTCTCTCTCTCTCTCTCCCTCCCTCTCGGATCCGTCGCTCTATCCCTCATCCCTGCAAGTATTGCTACTTTGCTTGGTGCTTGGGGATTTGTAGAATGGTGTTTGCTCATGGCTGGATTAAGATTGAGGTTTGAGGGACAATGTATTAAGGAATTGCGGGGTGTTTCGGAAAATATGGGTGCGTAGGCTGTGGTCGACATTAATCTATTAATCAGGTTTAGCTTTTAATTCTGTGTTCAAGATTGGAGATCAAGATTCGGGATTCCTCACTGAGGTCCGCTTGTAAATGTCCCGTTGCAGCACAGTCCGACTCGTGAATATAGGGTTCGGCTTCCGTCCTAGTAATTACCTAGGTATTTGCAATCATATATTAATATAGGTACCTAACATTAAAATCACAGGGCCCACTGTATATACTAGTCTGATTATATGTTTGTTTAAGCACATGAAGCAGGCCCATATTGGTTGGCCTTACTAGTAATCTGTCGGATGGAGTTTACGATCTAAGACTTTAGGATACTTCGGCTCAATCACTCGATCCCAATATTACTGGTCCGAGCAGCGGGACATGGCATTCTCGAAGCTCTTTGATCTTCAGATATATCTTCAATCCATCGATCCTGAAGTGACGGGATATAGTGTTTTGGGTGTGCCGAGGGGCTTGGGTGGTTAAGGCTTATAGTTTCTTGTTGCAACATTGCCCATCTAGAATCCTGAAACCCACGTCTATTGGAAAATAGGGCGCTGCTTCACCCCACTGTAATCCCCACGCCTTGAACCCTAACCCCCAAATTGTCCCTGAATGCATACCCGTCATACCCTTTCCAAACTTGTATATCGGATGCTTCAGCTTGCGCCATCGGAGGGTGGCAGATCCTCGAGAGAACGCAGATCAACTCTAACAGTTCACCTACAACTAAATGGGAAACCGAGCCAGCTGGAAGACCTAATATAAGGGACCCCATAGCTATACGGGCTGTGTTCTTGAGAAAAATTTACAATAATCACGGATGGTCGGTTGGATGTGGCCCCGATTAAAAGAAATCCCGAGAGGACAGGGTGGATTCCGACCACATACACTTAAGGAACATAGAAATCTAGATTACACCAGAGAATGCTTCCATGAGCCGCCATATCCAACGAATGGGCGGCGAGCTCGTCTGCTTCGGCAGCAACGGCTCTCACCTTGCGGGGTTGCTGCGTCGAACTAAAGCATGACTAATAACTGGGGTCGGTGCATTTGACGTTCGGCTTTTTTTTGGGGGGGGAGGTGATTTGAATGCATGCATGGATGCCTGGAATGGTTCCGTTTGCTTTGGCTTCGGGATTTAGATTCACGACGATCATCGAAAGCGCCTGGGATAGGTATTAGTTGTACACGTGGTTCGATTCAAACATAGAACAGATGCAAGATGGTGTCTTTAATTCCTAGCACAAGATTCCGTCCTTTAGCTCATCACCGGGATCTGTTTTATAAAATCGCGATTAAGGTGTGTGCTTTGGCGATGCATGTGCATGTGCTGTCATGACCGATCATTCGTTTATAGAACATGATCGGAGTGAGTTCAGTTCGCGATACAGCTTCGAATAAGGGATTACTGGAAGAAATAATAAACAAGAATACCGTACAGATGTCTTAACGGGTATTATAATAGATGAGTGTGGGAATCGGTTGCTTTAATATAAGTTCGGCTCTAGAGATCTGCCTGTACCAGTATAAGACAACTGGAATACATTAGGTCATTAGGAATTGGTTCTTTAAAGCCTAAGCCCGCACCGCCCAGGTGGAAAGCAAGCCTCGAGTGTGCCGCGATTCTTTCAAGTCTCTCCGAGAACGAAATCAAGAGGAGACGGTACTAGCTGAGCTGTTTTCAGCATCGCCATCTGGGCTGCTTCTGTGCGCTTCATTCGAAGCGGGGGAGTGTTCGCTGCTGGATCATCTATAACTGTTCAATAACTCACTGGCTTTGCCTATATGCGTGCAAAACAGCTGTGCAAATTTTATCTCTTAGCAGCTTTTGATCAGATGATTTCCAGCCATGCACAGTGGGTGCTTCGAATGTTTTTCTAGAGGCATGGGGACCCGCACCGAGATCCGCAGTTTCTGGATAATGTGCTATTGTGCTTGGTGCTGCATGACGCAGTGTGTTCGACCTCTTGTGACCTGTGCCCATTAAGCATTTTGATGCTCAGATCGGTAACCCGTATATGCATCTTATGTAGCCTCGATCCTTGCAGGAGTGCACTTTAACGCATATTGATGGACTGCACTGTTTGGTCATATGTGTAACATGCTGACTAGTGAACTATATACAAGTGTGTCAGCGCTCGCCATGTTGTTCACGCGACTGCTCGTTGCGATCAGTTCACTCCACTTGAGTTTCGGGCCACGATCATCTGATTTAGATTTTCTCGAAGTCTTTGCAGGCCGGGCTCGATCCCAAATTGTCGATCACTCAAACTGTGTGGGGTTTAGGGTTTGGGGGTTTAATTATCGGTAGTCTGCCAGGTGAACATGTTCTCTTCTCTGCGGCCAAGTTGTATGGCCTCCGTGCCCATGGCATCGACGATCCTCCAGCTGCAAAGCTCCACCTGAGATATGTTGCTTAAGCTTTGGTCGCATATATGATATATAGATTTATATATATATATGATCTGAGGTAACCTACTCGAGGAAGCTTGATCTGCTGACTGCTTTCGGCTTCTTATTCTGCCTGCACAGTGCTTCTTGGACGCATGTCCTATAGATCGAGGATCGACTTAGCCAACTGCGGCAGCAAATCTTCAAGCCTTTAATGACATTAATTGAGGTCAGGAGGCTTCGTCCAAGTGGGGTCGCTTGGTACGCAGTGCCCTGCAGCAGCTGGGTGTTTATGAGTTTCAGCTGCAAATTTCACTGAGTCTGTGCGCATGGTGTTACGGTGTTCATGAAGAGTTGCACCTTAACCGAATTAAGGAGCCGGGGGAGCACAAAGCGCAGGAGGCTCAACATCAAAGGCGATTGGGTTACTATCATCTGCAGGTGCATTATAATCGGTTACGTATGAATCCTAAACCCGGAACCCCTAAACCCGAGTCTAGAGCCGAAACCTTAAGTAAACCCTACGAGTGCTGAAACCCAATATAGTTTATCATTCTGACCAGGCAACTGCAAATCCGATAAGATCAAGACCGCGAACCGTCTCGCACGACGTGTGGCATACTTGCTGCCAGGCCGCACTATATATATGTGTAGCTCGAGTCTCTGCGATGATCTGTGTGTTCCTGATCGAGCTGTCAAAGGATGGAATATCATCACCAATCGGGGACTTATTACATCTTGGAAAATCCTGCCGGGTCTCTACTTTTCGATCTTCCATGCATAAAAGCATCTCGGGTAGCATGGGTTCGCAGATTAGTCTAATTGAAATGACGGGTCGATTCTGAGGCACTTCTGAGAAAACACAAGGCCGTGAACATCAACGTGTGCTTGGGGGCACTTGGTGCACCCAGCCGGAAGTGTGTTGCTGGGAGTGAATATATGCTGGTTTAGGGCTAACTTAGGTAGGTACCTACCTCGATTGCTCGTATAAGGTTACCTTGTATGGAACGGCTCCCTGGATCCGTGAGCTCTACGAGCAACTTACAGGGACACGGAGGACCTCGGATCCAGCATCCCTTTTAAATTCCGTATTTAAATAGAATTACCCATATAGGTTATAACCCCCAAAGAACAGACTCACCACACCCCACGCCTTAAGTTCAACTCCCAATCCCGAAGCTCGATCTCAAACTTGTTATAGCTGCTGCTAAATATCCCTGGCCATGATATATAGGGCTGTATTTCAGATGACGGCTAGTCTCATGCGACATAGCAGTGTCATACTTATAATACTGTCACAGAGACACTGACATAGAATAGTTAAAGGGTCTATATATATATATATGTAGATGTGCGAGGGTCGATCTTTATAACACACAGTTAATGTTGGTACGTTCCAACCGAATCATCTACTTCTTGTGGACAACACCGGCGTGCTATATATATATATATATATACGTGGGCAGTTGCACAATACGTGTAGATTAATTTAAATTGTACGACTTATAATGAATGATCCCCGCCCGTACGTTACCTAAATAATCGATCTATAAACCCCTAAACCCCTAACCCCGAAACCCCGAAACCCCGAAACCCGAAACCCCTAAACCCCTAAAGCCCGAAATTTTCGAAACCCGGGAATATGTCTATACTTCCATCAATCGTGCATGCAGGAACCAACTGAAGCGGATCCAGTCCTTCTTGAAGCTGGATATCAGCCGTGGCTATACCGATGCCCAGGGTCGCAACAAACGGGTACCTTGGCCGTCTTAGCTTGGGCTGTGCTATACCCGCCTGCTACCTGTTGTAAAGCCTGTGCCCCTCAGGTTGGTGGCAGGGATCTTACAGCCTCTGGTGTTTACCCAGGGATGATGGCCCTAAAAGCCTCTTGCTTAATTGTTATTGATGCAACATTCACGGGGCCGCACACGCAACCGCTATCTGTAGTTTCGATATAACCCGATCTCAATTGAGGTTGCCGAGCTTCTACAGAATCACTTGGCAAATGCACCAACTTCGTACGCTGTAGATGAAATGGACATGGAGCTATGTGATACCGTGGATGATGAGTCGGATTCCGGCCTCGAGGACTTGGTCGGTGCTGATCGGATCACCAGTGCAGGGCAGAGTTCGTAGCTGCAGCCGAGATTTCGACCTTATAAGGCAGCTTGAGAGTACGGGGTCGGCTGCTGTGAGCTTGGATCGTGATCGACTGCTAGAAAAATGAGGCCGTGGGACAGGCTAATAGTTGGAACCATATATGCAAGCGCAAAACCACTAGCGTGTATCAGCGTGTATCTGCGTGTATCCGGATGCTTGAACGACCGGTTAGCGTGTATCTGCGTGTATCGGTGGTTAAACCAGATATTACCAGAATAATATACACAATTTGTGGACGCAGCCGATCGAGTCAAGGACGAATCGAGTGTGCCCACGTGTGTTCGCCATGGGTCGGGGTGGGTCCAAGGGCAAGACCAGCAAGGGGTTGCCCAATTCGGGCGATTCCGACATCCATTTGTCCGTTGAGACTGGACCCCGGACTTATGAGTATGTTGGCCGAGTCCCCAATGATCCGACACCCAAAGGGTCTGGTAAGGGTGCAAAGGGTGGCAGTACTAAGGGCAAGGGTAAGGGCGGGAAAGTTGGCAAGCCCAGCGGTGAGCCAGCTTCGAATGAGTGTCGCACACCCACTCCGAAGAAATTTGATCATGATGCCCAGCACACGGGCAGCCCTCCGAGCATGCCCCCGAAGGGCACCACAAGGGGAAGTGGTGCCAACAGCGAGGATGGTGAAGGCACGAAGAGTGCTGTGGAGCCATCTGGCAATAAAGGTGGGAAGGGCGCCACTTTGGCTGGCAAGGGCGCAGCCGATCAGCCTAAGGGCACCGGTGTCCTCAAAGGCGCCAATGTGGATCACGCCGGCAAGGGTGGCAAAAAGGGCAACAAGGGTGCCCCTGTCGTGGACCACGCTGCACGCGAGATCGGTGCCGGTGCCATGGATCAGACTGAGAAGGGCAAAGGTGTTGTCAAGGGCAAAACTGCCGTGGATCAGGCTGGCAAGGGCAAAACTGCCATGGATCAGACTGTCAAGGGCAAAGGTGCCGTGGAACAGACTGGCAAGGGCAAGACTGCCATGGATCAGACTGACAAGGGCAAAGGTGCTGTCAAGGGCAAGACTGCCGTGGATCAGACTGGCAAGGGCAAGACTGCCATGGATCAGACTGGCAAGGGCAAGCCTGCCATGGATCGGACTGGCAAGGGCAAAGGTGCTGTCAAGGGCAAGACTGCCGTGGATCAGACTAGTGGCAAGGGCAAGACTGCCGTGGATCAGACTGGCAAGGGCAAGACTGCCGTGGATCAGACGAAGGGCAAAGGTGCTATCGCGGGCAACAAGGGGGCAAAGGGTGCCGTGAAGCACGTTGGCAACCTTGAGGGCGCCAACAAGGGTGTGAAGGGTGCAGTGGATACCCAGGATGGCAAAGGCAAGGGTGGTCTTATCGATCACACCGGCAAGAGACAGCGCGACTCCCCACCCGAGCATGATCGCCAAGTGTGTCGCCGTGTGTCTTTCGGATCAGGACGGGCCCCTACACACATATCACGCACCGTGCTGTATCTAGTACTGTGTCGGTGCACGAATGCAGTGCGCTTGTGCAGTCACGACCGATGCCGATGCTGCGAGCACGCCGAGCCCGGCGCATGCACGACCCTCGAAGTGGCTTGTCTACATATAGGTTGCTACCGACTCCATTTGCAGTCATATACAAACTAGTTGTCCGCCAGCCCTGAACATAACCCAGGTCAATCATCCGAAGCGACACAAACATCTCTGCCATGAGTGATGGCAGTGGGCCTGTCAATATGGCGCCATTGGCCACTGGTGTTGATGCGCAGAATGTTCCCGATGTGGTACCTCATTTGCATCATTAATTATCTTAGGTTCTACTAGTCAGGCGGGAGGCAAAACTACGTACCCTGAATTCCGTGATAATCGAAGGCAGCTAATCTTGATTATGCCTATTTCATGCAATTCAGCCGAGGCAAGGCCACTCACCGAGGCGGAACGAAAGCAGATCGAGGCCGTTACTTCAAATAATTGCTAGTGGAATAAAGAACCCGAGTCCAGATAAACCCCATCGATGTATCGATCCCTAGCATGGTGCCTCTAAACAATAAAAAAGAAACCAGACCTAAATCCTAGAATACCAAAACCCCAATCTCTTTCCGGCTAGGCCTTATCCGGGCCGGCTGACATTCCACTTCAGCAGCGAAAAGCTTTGAATGAAAAGCTGAGACGACGGATGCAGAATGGCCAAGGCGTGCAATATACGAAATTCCCACAGGTGTTTATTTAATAGCATATTTGCAACACTTTAAGACTACACTAGGGTCGATAGATGCAGATCGCGGTATGTTATAGAGGCCTACGCAAAGGATTAGTGGCCCAGTGGGCCGCATCGCCTCCGAACTCGCCGGCGCGGCTTCTCTGCAGCAATCCAGATCGATCGATGCCACCTGCATGATGTTACTATATCGCTTTCCGAGCTTTTTTAACCAACCCAGCTGCAGGTTCGAGTTTCTGAAAGCATTCTTGCTGGACAAGGAAAACCTGGCCACAATAACGGTCGAACCTTATGACGAGGAGCTCCTCGGACCTTTATTCAGACTAGTGTGGCGATGCTTTGTTCAACAGCTTGACTATATGCAGGCTCTCAGAAAACAAAGAAAAGGAGCAGTTTACGGAGCTGCCCCTTTGCCTCATTCGGCAAAAATACGATGGGGTCCCGGGCGGCAAAGCATTCGTGGAGAATTTGCTCGCCAGCGGCTTGGCTTCGAACTAGCTTCTTCCCATAAATGTAGACTTAACCCAAACCGCCAACGGAGTCATATCTTAGGCCAGACTGGCAAAAAGCATCCCCAGTCGGATGAAGCGGAGATGCGCATCTACAGAGTCTTCGACAGCATCAAAACTTCGAGTGCCTAGGTTTCCAATTGGTTGTGAGCTTTCTTGTGCTACAATATACCACATATAGTGAAATTTATTCAGTATAACGCAGTAGAATGTAATATAAAGGATGTGTGTGTATATATATATATATATATGTGTATGTATACATACTTGTAGTCTGTCGATATACTTGTGTATATATATATATATATATATATATTCGGATATATTGTTATATAGGGCCTGGAAGAATCCCATGCGCAACTAAGGTTCCAATATTAACAGAGTTGGAAATCGAACCGGTGCCGCTGTGACTGCATCCCACAACCGTGCGGAGCGCAAAGCCATAGCGGAGACCCTGGAGGGAAAGGTTGCCTCGATGGCGAAGATGAGCACAGCCCAAGCCGCACCCAAGGGTAAAGGAAAGGGCAAGAACAAAAGCAAGAAGGACCGAACATTAGGGGTAAACCCTTTAATACTCCCGGTGTCTTAGAAGCCCCAGCCCTTGAACCTCAAACCCCGAAACCACTCTTGAGTAATATGCCAGGAATTGACCCAAGAGGAACTCGACAAGAAGAACTTTCAGAAAGACCTTCAAGCGTGCAGGCCTCAGTATGTCTCATACTGTATACATCTCTAAACCCTGATGAATAACTTAACTCAATGCCACCCAGGGTGCGCGACTTGTCGGACAAGGCGGTTCATGTGGCAGCTGGGCTGGGAGGCTGCGGGCTCGCCAACCAGGAGTCCTCGATTTCCCATCTCGGGACGGTTACGAGGGAATGCACGAGGATTCGAGATGAGAGTTTCGGCTGAAAAACATCACGTGCAGGCATTCACACTAGAATCACCCCCAAGGCAAACCCTTCAATCCAAATACAAAGTTTAACGAACCAACCATTCCCGCCTATTTATACAGCTCAGGATTCAGAAGCTCGTATTCGATGCGGCGCCATTCGAAGACTGCCTCGCAAGCATGGACTACTACAAGAAGGAGATCCTGAAGGCTGCTTGACTAGGCTATAGTCTGCTATGAACTTTCCTTGTATACTTTGTTGATTGACTTCCGATACGCACTGCAGTCTGCATCTATGTCAGGATTACCAAAAGCAAGTCACCGATGCCGAAGAGGTTTGGCTGGGCCACGAACGACGCTACTTGGTTGACTATTGCGGTCCCACAAATATACTATCAAACCTTTATCTACTGTTCCGAAGCTAAGGCAAGGCTGCCCAGAAGAGAAAGATTCAGAAAGCAGAGGAGCAGAAACAAAAGAAAAACAAGGAGGCAGCAGGCCAGGATGATCAGGGAGAAGGTGATGAAGAAGAGAACTGGGAAGACTGCCCCGACACCGCCGAGCAGGAGGATGGCCGGGAGTGGGAGGACGAGGAGGGTACTGGCTAAGTGGCTAATCCCCGATGCAAAGTTGCCTAAGGCTGCTTATGCGCACATGTTCGATCTAGCTACAATGCTCGATCTTTTATGTCATGTCAAGTTGTTTGCAATCCGGGGCGGCTTGTTCTGCAGGCACAGGCAGTGTGAGCATTATAGCTGCTTCATACAGATTGTAGATGTCAGAGTAAAGCAGGTAAAGGACATGCTGCATGTGCATAGTGCTACAAGCCGGTGGGGTTTTGCATCCCAAGTTTTCTGCTTGGGCAACGAGCCTGCAGGGGAGATCCGAGCTCTAGATGTGTGATCGCACAGCTGGTCCTTTGCTGCAAAACAGGCAATGTCAGATCAGCCAGCCTGCATGGTACATATATTCCAGCGCTTTCCAGTCCAGTGCACGAATATACCTGCAGCTTCAAGCTTTTATGGTCATCCCGTTTCAGGCACACCCCTCTCCACAATAAGTCCAAGCACCCTGCTAGACCCTAAGCTCAACCCTCCCAAATATTCATAGAACATGTAGAAGTTGTCGTTGTGTTTCACTATACACCCTAAAGATATATGCGGCGGCTTAAGGTTTAATGCATCTCTTATGGATGGTCTTTATGTTTCCCCCCCAAATGGAGCTTGAACTCCAAGCCAGGCTTTATATGGATGTAGATACATTTCGTCATATATGTACATAGAACGTAGCAAAGTCTGTGCTTAGCAAACAAATCACAACGCTAGCTTATTAACCCCTAATGCAATGTGCAAGCCTTGTCGACACCCCTTTAAACACCCGAGTTAATTAGGGCAACCGGCGAGCTGCTTATGTTGTGATTTAGCCGAATGCAAAGGAAACCTGTAGCCGAATCATGATCATGTCGACTGTTGTGCCATGGTGTCGCGAGAGTCAACATGTGCGCCTAACTGGGCAGAGCAGTACGTCCAAAAAACATGTGACGATGTCCTACGGCTACTTTCTAGTGGAAAGGCCGGCTTATTGGGTTAAGTTTAATGATAGCGGTAATACTTACCTACTCTGCCGGAGGTCCCTCTTGCAGAGCTGGCCACGTCGCTATCTCATCTTCGAGAACTTCCTCAGTCCGTCGTGCCGCAGTTCGGTTGCTATGCTGACTGATGTTTGCTTGTTTGATGAGTTGGCATTCAGCAATGTACCATACACCTGATAAGGACGGACTTGCTAGACTTGGCCCATGCCTTCCAGAATGCGAATTCCTGGGGCCAGATGCGTGTTCTTATACGGTGGTGCAACCGGCAAACCTGGCGCAAAGTCTTGCCTCAACCCTTTGCGCGTCCTAGCAGCCTTTAATCATATATCGATCACCGAGGTGCATCCCAGGCCATTTGATCGTTGCTTCGCATATACACCTAAGGATTCGGATGAAATCAGTGTGCCACTCAACTACCGCCGACGTGTCTCCTTATCGAGCCCTCTGTCTCTCTCTCTCTCTCTCTCTCTCTCTCTCTCTCTATTAGCTCGAGCTCTCACTCTGCCCAAAACCGATCCAGGAATATCAAGACGCTCACGGCAACCGTGTACGTTGGGTGGAGCACAACTTGCTATTGCCGCATGAAATTATCGGGTGCTTGTACGACACGAACAATCTGGGATTGGTGTCTGGGGAAGCTACTTGGATTGAAAGCACAGATTGCATCACAAATTAAGCTGGGTGTGAGCGTGTGTGTGTGTGTGTGTGTGTGTGTGCGTGTGTCGGCATGCATGCATATGCACCAGGGCCGATGGTAAGCACATTGCAAACAATTTGGTAACAGTAGGGTTTTGTGGGGTTTAGTACTTAGCATTAGATGTTGTTTAGGGTTTCGGATCGATCTCAATTTAGCGCTTGTATACATATTATATTAGCTTAGGGCTTAAGCTTTTAGGATTCCTGAGGGCTTAAGTCTAATCTCCCCAAGGAGCCGGACCGACTGATGTATTGGAAGGAAGTCTCCCATACAGCTTGGTTTCGCGACCACCCGCTGCTCCAGGCCTTTGTGAACAATTTAATGTCGTTAAGGTTCAGGATTTAGGGTTTAGAACTTAGGAGCTTAAGGTTTGCCGACATTCGGTTAATCCATTATACCAACTATTATCCAATACATATATCCGATCGAGGCGGCCGACCTTCGATTTCGCATTCCTTTGCGGCTATATGGAGATGGAGCTGAATCGACCAGCCACATGGCACTCATTCATAGTATCGGTGTTTTTCGAATTAATGCGATGTTCTGCAATATTGATCAGGACATCAACACTTCGAGTGTTTCGCACTCTTGGCTCCGTTGGGGTCGTCGTCTACAATGGACTCTCGGTTCTTGTGTTTCGATCGCACTTATGAGTCTCAATTCGGCCTATAGGATCCTTATAGGCTATAATCAGTTCAACCTGTCTCGCGAGGATCAGCTGCATGAACATGGCCTACCATGGTGGCAACTGCCGCTATGGAATACTGGAAACGTTGAAATGGTCGTTCAACGCCCTCGGCCCCATAGCTGCGCGTGTGTCTCGTTAAAGTTTCTGTCAGCTGCGATGGGGCTTATAACTCGGGTGTTGAGTTTGAGCTGATATCTCAGGCACCGGGACTTACCCCCATACCGACCCATTTGGTGTCCAGTTTTCTGAGAGCTACATGCCGCATCGAGCACGACTTGCTGGGAAATCCATTGCGGGGGACTTCATCTGTGTCTACGACGGCCTGCAGGCCGACATGGAGTTTGTAAAGAAAGTCTACAACCTGCAACGCCCCTTTGAAGCATTAGCGATAGCATATCCGGTTTCCACAAATCCCCGATGTTCCTATTCTCGATTTGGACTACATTATAACTTAAGAATCCCAAATCCCCGGTCCCGATCAGAGTTTGCCAAGCCACCGGAGGCGACTACAGCCGCAAAATGGTTTGCTTTTTTTGCTCTGTTCCTTGGATCGCATCATCGGATACCTTCCTTAATTCTGTAGGCAATTCTAGAGAAATATAGGGTACTCAAGTAGAACGCGCGAGGCCCTGCAGTGGACCTACATTCATGGAGATCCCCAAGCTCCCAATGACGAAGAGCTTTTGTTTACAAATTTCGGAAGGAATGCACGGCACAGACAGACGCTTCATGGCTGATTTGTATTCTAAATGTTTGTCTGATCCAACTTCCATAGCAATTGGCAGTCTCAATCTTCCACAAATTCCTACTACAAGGCTGATTGGTGATGCTGCGGAGTTCATCCGGCTGCATGGTGCCACCCCCTTGACGGGGATCATCGGATGGAGCCCGTGGCGTCTATGGACTGCATATAGGTCGACTCATTTCTTGCTGTGGTAACATCACCTAAGGCATTTTACTGGATGTCATGCACCTCATCCACTTGGCCCTGATCCCCGATGTTGCTATTTCTCTTTTATTGGACCTTTCGGATGGGCCACAGCGGGACCACACCCTCAGCGAACTCTTCGAAGAGTACCGATGTTGGTGCGAATCCCAAAGAACCTGAGATGCAAATTATAGTGTGACTGCTACTTAACTATACACATCGTGATTCCGATAATTCTGAATTGAGGTGTGCCGGACCGTGCTCGCCGTCGCCTTTTCAGTGCGGCAACTTTGAAGCCCAATGCCAGAGAGTATCGGGGAATCTCACAAAAGATCTTGAGTGCTTCAGCGGCACGCTACCTGCTTATGTGGATGGCTGCTTACATGCGGGCTTTGCTTCGGCGTTTTCCCGACAATGAATTCCTACAGAATCTTCGTCTGCATTTATGTGTCCGTGCTGTTCTGTATGTGTGTGCGTGCACGCGGGAGAGAGAGAGAACGAGATGGAGTGACAAAGCAAAACAACCCCAAACTTATAGTCAAGCAAGGTTAAGAGCGGCAGTGTGTCTCGGCCTCGCGCGAATGGAGGAGTTGATGCTTTCCAATGGGTAGCTTGGCTTTTATTCTGGCTCAGGGTTTAGGGGCTAGTTGCAGGGATCCTAAACGAAATCTATTTGGGAACTTTTAATATTCGACTTATAATGTGTAGTGCGGCAGGCGACTTTTCAGTCAAGCTGACAGCGTTGAGATGGAGAGCGTATACCTCGTCTTCCGGGCAGCTTATGACAAATTGGCTAACGCCGCTTTGACTGCACGGCAATGCCGTTGGGCACTTCGTCCGAAGGACCACATGCTGGAACACCTCGTATTCGACTACAGAGGCTTCGAGTATAGGTGCTTGAATGGGCGGTTCTGCCAAAATTTCCTCAACGAGGATTTCATGAGAAGGGTTAAAGCCCTTGCGGTGGGATCGCATGCTGCGTTTCTTTCGAAGCACGTCACGTTTAAGTACATCCTCCAGTTCACTCTGCGATGGAGATGATGAAAAAATCGAGTCGCGAGCAGGATTGTACACTCCAGTTGACAAGATGCCGCATTTCCCATGCACGGAACAAAACAACCTATATCTTTGCCATATACGCTCAAGGTCAAATCGCTACAAACACCAGTTTGTTTAATCCCCGAAATTATAACCCGAAAACAAATGGTGTGTATAGGGCCTTATAAGCAAAAGGTAAGACCCTCTTAATAACATCCCACATGCAAGTGGATTCTAGCATGCCATATGTTCGAGACGCTCGGATTGAAAGGCTTGCCTCCTGTGTTTAAAGTTTGGCGGACTGTGCACATTTATCGACTGATCTGAGGTGATTATATATGCATGCGGCTTCGAGTGTTGCGATCTTTTATACATGTCTGGGGCAGCTTGGAGGCAATTCAAGCTTAAGAACGTACAAATCTTATAAGAGGGATAAAATCAGATTTGCATTCGCTCCGATCCGAGACACAGAGTTTTATCCGGATTCAATAATATGTATCCAACCCCGATCGTATAGAGGATATAATATTAACCCCTTATATACAAATCACAAAACTTTACTATATATATATATATAACCCCTAGCCCAATATGATATGAATGCACCAATTAGCGCAAACCTCATATGGTTAACCCTAAACCCTAAACCCTAAACCCTAAACCCTA